TCAGAGGATAGCCTTTCGTTAGACCAGTGACCTGTATGGCAGCGCATTCAGTCTGTACAGAGGACGGGCCGCTCTCGATCCACGTGTAAGTAATGCTTCTCAGGGGCCTACACTGTCCCACATTACCATGCTGTCCTGCACTGCCCCTCCACCCCCACCTCCCGGCACCATCCACCCCTCCGTGCACTTCTCCACCTTCCATTGCTTCCACTCCCGGCCCCAGCTATTCACTCTCTTCCCACACTGCTCCATCCGCCTCCTGTGCCATCACCACCCACATCCTCCCACACCTACTGTTCTGGCTCACCATGCCCTCTCCATGGTCTCTGCACCCCTCTGTCCCTTCCTTGTCTCCTCCAAAATCTCCACTTTCCCTGGGGCCCTCTCCTGCCTCACCCATTCAGGCTCCAGTTGTCCCCAGGATCCCCCCCCTTGGGGCCCCCTCCGTGCCTGCTGTCTCTGCAGCTGCTGCCTTTTCATTCTCTGCACATTCCTGTTCCCTGTGGGCCTTTCTCTGGGAGGAACGGAACCACGGCAGCTCCCGGGAGAGCAGGAGAGAGCAAGGAAGCAAGAGCACACCAGGAGAGAGAAGAGAGCGAGGTGGTCAGGGGGCAGATGGGGTCAGGGGCCTGGGAAAGCAGGAGTATGTGGGGGGTGGGGGAAGTAGGAACCAGGGCAGGGAGTGATGGAGACAGGAGGCTGGGGTAGAGACAGAGGGGTTGGAATGCTGGAGGGGGGTGTCTGTGATGATCTTGTGGGAAACGCCTGAGGGTGGGGTTGAAGGTTGTCCTGGTAGGGGGTGTTGAGCACAGGTGTTGGAGTGAGGCATTGGAGCCATTTTTGGAGATTTGGGGGTTGGCTGATACAGAAGAGAGTGCTATGGTAGAAGAGGGGAGTGGCTGGTGAAAGATGTATTGGGGGCATTTGGGGAGCTGACAGGGGGCCTGATTTGTGATGGGTGGGGGTGGGATCATCATGGAAGAGAAGGAAGGGGCCTGTTGTGGGTAAGGAGGTTTGAACGGCTAGTGGTGGGTAGGGGAGAGGTCTGGGCAGGGGCAGGGGCAGGAGAGGCTCCCTTGCTTTATCTGATTGGCATTAGCCAGGTGCTCCTGTGCCCTGGACTTGCCTTTTCCTTCCCTGCCTGTCTTTGCCAGGCTCCAGCCAGAGCCTGGAGTTGCTATGGCAACTTCGAGGAACCCATTTCCTTAGTGATGTCTGTGGTACAGAGGCTGGCCTGGAGCTAGAATCTGCCGGCAAGAGGGCCTCCTCTGCTGTCCCAATTTCTCTCTTGCCTCACCCAGTTCCCATGGGCCATTCTTCAGGGACTGTGCTGTAGAGTAGATTCTGCCTCCTTTCAGGTGGCTGGCTGAGGTTCTGCGCCCTCAGGGCACTATGGGTTGCCATCCCCATGTCCACCGGCCCCCCCGCCCCATACAATAAATCTACTATAAAACAAAAATTGGGGATCGGTACATGAACTAAATTTCCTACCATCCTCCGACACCTGTAGGTAGGAGGACACTATAGACAGGACCATCCCCGCCGGAGGTCCCAAACAGGGGGGTACTAGGCTAAAAGGGCTGAAATGTGGCGTTCAG